CAGTGGTTTAGCAGCAACAAGAACAGCATCAAAGTGTCAGTAATGACAAATGGGGCAGGCAGCTCCCATCAGAGGGAAAGGACAGCTCTCAAGGTCACTGGGGATGGCAGCTCTGCAGAGGCATGCCTCATCACCAGCTGCCTGCACAGAGGGGCAGGCAGGGCCAAGACCGGCTGACCACAGGCCAGCTCTAACCTCCGGGTCTGCCCAGGGCAGGGACAGATGGGGAGGGAAAGGGAAGCTGCTGTGCTGAGAGGAGCCGCCCAGTCTGACAGAGCAGTCACATTTCCTACCCCACCCCACTCCACTCCCCTAGACGCTGCTGCCCAAGCAACCCCAAATAAAAACTGCCCCATAACTAAGGGAGATAAAGCCTCTGTGTCCTAAGACTGACTTCTGAGGGCCACCACACCCTTCACCCTTCCCAGCAGCCACAGCATACTTCCCAGGCAGCCCCACCAGCCTCCCATCTCCAGTTCTGGGGCTGGAACAGGAGTCAAAGCTAGGGGCCTAAGGCCCCTCAGCCACTTCCCAAAGAGTCAGGTGACATATGGAAACCAGGGCAGAGAAGGCATGTAACTGTTCACAACAGTTAACAAACAAGCTATCTAGAGGGCTAAGGGATAGATGGAAAGATGCCTTGATCAAGGATGATCTCAACCTTAGGCCAACAGGCGACATTTCCTCTCAGGTACCCTCAAGTGCCCCCAAACTCTGCCCTCCTTAAGGAGGTCTCAGAATACCATGACTGGCCCAGTAGAAGGCTCTGGCCTAAGACCTAAGTCCTCCACAGCCATAGGCTCCCTGAGCTCCCCTGCCAAAACCGACAGCACAGTCCAAGCAGGGGCTGATAGAGCCTCTGGGGGGCCACAACTAGCAACCTATCCACAGTCACAACAGTTTTGGTCTTTATAACAACAACAACAACAAAAAAGAAGACAAACTCGTCCTAATCCAAATTGAACCTACAGCTTTGGGTTGCCCAAGAGGCCAGCCTCTAACCACTGATGCAAGAGGCCCAGGATAATGGTTCTACCTACCATACTCCAGGTCTTACAGCAGGTACCATTTCACTCCATATCAAGACCAGGGAGACAGCAGATGAAGGCTCCACACAGCAGGCCTATGCTCTCTCCTCCCCCAAATGCACAGAGAGATCAGCATCGCAGGGGGCAAAGACCAGGTCTCCCAACCACAATAGCCTCATGGCAGATCCCCTGTCTTCTTACTCCAAAACCTTTATAGCTGCTTCCTTCTCTCCCTCTTCTGATATGTTCAGGACCATTCCCTGGAGTGTAATCTACACCGATAGCATAAAGTCCAAAAAGGTCCAAATGACTCATCTGACCCTATGGGGTCACCACCTCGTGTCTATCTTGGACGCTGGGGTAATGAGAAGTAACGAGAAGGATGCTGGAGGTACAAAGTAGCAGAAAAGTATCTCTTAGGATTTTTAGACCCAGAAGAACTATGATAATCCATGGACAGTTTTACTGAGGGGAAAGGATGATAATCAGTATCCTTCTGTACCATGTTAAATTTTGCTTTGAGAATTTCCTCTTTAATTATTTAAAATAAAATATCCCTCACCTTAAAAAGCACCCCACTGACAAAGGACCTTTGAAAGCTGCTAAGACACCCTAGAATCCTAGCCACCACCATTACAGAGAGCAGGACCCCAGAGTAATCCCAATACTAATAATTTGAAAGTTTCTATGTGTCCAGAACCACACTAAGGCTTGTACAGATGATGTCTTACTTACTATGTACAACTCTATGATTATAACCATTCACCTTTTTATTATTATTATTTTTTTTTGAGACAGTCTCACTCTGTCACCCTCGGTTGTGTGCTGTGGCATCATAGCTCTCAGCAACCTCAAACTCTTGGGCTTAAGCGATTCTCTTGCCACCACCTCCCAGGTAGCTGGGACTATAGGTGCCCACCACAACACTGGCTATTTTTTGTTGTTGTTGTTGTTGTTGTCATTGTTGTTTTAGCAGGTGCTGACCAGGTTTGAACCCAGCAACCCTGGTGTATGTGGCTGGTGCCCTAACCACTGAGCTACAGGCACCAAGCCACCATGACCTTTTTAGAAATGAGGGGATGCATTAAGTAACCTGCCTGCTAGTAAGTCACAAGAACTGGGAGTTAAACCCCAGTGTCCAGGTGTCCAAACCCTGTGCTGTCCTGCCTTCCCATAAGGTAGGGGCAGCTCCAGGCAGGTCTGCCAGGGAGAAAAGCTGCAGAGCTGCAGGGTGATTTGGGCCTTGCTTTGAGACTGCAGAGGCCTCTCAAGCCCTAGTTCTCAACCTCAACAGCATGGAGAATGCAGAGGGCTGCAAAGGCCAAGCTCCTTTCATTGGAAATTCTCATACTTCAGTGTGTACCCTGAGACTCATGGCACTGAGGTTTTCCCAGGTTCTAAGTTCTGGATTGTCTGTCCTCATAGTAACTCTTCCAAGGCAAGAGAATTCTCCCAGATAAGGGCTACCAGACATTGTTACCAAAACCTCCCTCCACCACTGAATTGTCTGCCCTCATAGTAGCTCTTCCACGGCAAGAGAATTGTCCCAGATAAGAGCTACCAGACGTTGTTACCAAAACCTCCCTCCACGGGTCACTGCAGTACACTGACCACCTACCATGCTCAGAGACTGCACTTGGTGCTTCAACTATGTTCTCATTTCATCTTTCACATCAACCCTGTAAAAGTATAAATGATCTCCATTTTATAGACAAGAAAACTGAGGCACCAAGAGTTTATGCAACTTGCCACTAGAATCTGTTCAGTGCAACTCCCCAGCTCCCTCCTCTTAACAATGAGGATACCTTCCCCACTCAGGTTCTCCCTTAGCACAGGGCCACCATCTACCTTCCCTGAGACCACCACAGCCACCTCCTGGAGTTGTTCAAAGCTGAGGAGAATACACCCTGGTCTTTTCTGCCTTCCCCTCTCCTTACCAAGCAATGTTCAGACTCATTATTTCAACAGCCCAGGTAATGCCACCAGGATTGGCCATCAAAACCACAAATGGAAGGGAGAGACAGGAGCAGGGGTGGCAGCCTTCACTCCCTATCAGTGGGCATGCTGTCCAGTGCACTGGAGGATCAGGCCAATAACATGGACTTTTCCTCTGCCCATTCTAAGTGTCCCTCCCCATTCCTGCTCCCGCCAGGTTCTATAAATAACCCAAGTCTCAGTGCATCAGAGGAAAGACATCCAGGTGGGTGTGGAAAGATCCTGGTGGAAAAGATGACTTCTATAAAGTAAATTAAAGCTCCCATTAGAATTAAGGGTGGCAAATCAAATTCTCCAAGACAGACTGTTCTTGGCTGAAAATAGGTCCACCTGGGCCTACAGGCTTGACCAGCTCAACTAAGAAAGATTCAGAGGCCAAGAGGAAAAGCAAGGGCAGGAACCAGGAAAAAAAAAAGCCCCTCCCTGAAAGCCTAGAGTCATTTTTCCCCCTTGTCTGTCCCCTCCTACCCGCCACCCACATATGTGGTCTACCAGTCCTGTGAGTGAAGCTGAGTGGTAGAGGGTGCAGGACTGGGGAAAGGGGTGTAGTGATTTAAGGAAGGCACCTCTTCTGAAAAATACTGGACTAAGAGATTCAGGAGAGAGCTTTCTGCCCCTCCCCCAACCCCTTAGGCTCCCTGAGCCAGGAAGGAGGGAGAGGACAGAAAAAAGGAGGAAAAAAAACAAAACAGGGGCCAAGCTATACCACATGATCCCACAATACAGCAACCAAACAGCAAGTCATGAAGGAAGGAAGGGAGCAGGCCAGGGGAGGAAGAGACGGAGTTAGGTCACAGCGCTGCCTGGAACCTGCACAGAGCTAATTCACTCTTCAACCCAGGCCACAGCCAGGAAGGCTATACACATTCTGGAAGATGTTCAAGGTCAGATCACAATATTCCACCCAAATCCTACTTTCATTTGAGTCTGCACTTAGCTTAAGGTTCATCCCTCTCCTCCAGCAAGCCTTCCTAGATTTACTCAGGAAAGTAATGCCATTCCCCTAGGGAAAACTTTCCTGCACCTCTCCCCACCTAGGGCACCCCACTCACCCTGTCAACCAGGTTATTTCCAAACTTAACCACTTGAGAGATCCACAGCAGGTTGTCAGCCCTGGGGACTGGCTTCCAAATCCTGCACAAGCACAAAACAGGAAATGGGACTCCAAGTCTAAAGCCTTGATCTTAGCACAGGCAAGGTTAAATGCTGCCAAGATAAATGATTAAAAAACCCACTGGCCCATCTAGGTGGAAGTGACTGGGAGATGATCTCCTGCCGTGCATTAACCATGCCACTGCCTCTGCCTTGGGCAGGATAGGCTGGCTGCTTGAAGGGGGACTCAAGTGTTTCCTTCCTTTACTTAAGAGGTCCTCCTGTTCTCAGACCAGGGACACAGGACATTTGGGTGGGTGGGGGGGCATCTCTAGATGATGGAGGCATCCAAGAACCAGGCAAGAGGCAGATGGCCTCTGCAGCCAGACTCCAGGTTTGGTGGAGGGTCTTCTGGAGGATGACACCTGGCCTTTCTTCTCCCACAGGGCAAGACTTCCTCTCCACTTCCCTGCAGGCCTGGCCTGGAGCAATTGCCCAAAGTTGTCCCTTTTTGGGAAAAGGGAGTCAGACCCAAAGGCCCTAAGAATGGCCCCAAGATTTTTCCTTCTTGTGATTTCCACAACCCCACACCTCTGGATCTCATTCTTAACTTTACTTAGCAATCTATTCCTAACTCTTGGATGACCCCTAAACCTCCCATAGGCCTCAGGGACCAATCAGAGGCCCAGCCCAGCCCAGCACAAGGCACATTTGGAGGTCAGAGGGGACCCTGAAACAATTAGAGCCAATTTGTCTGTCGGTTTATTTCCTTGACCGCGAGGCAAGGGGCTCACTGTCCAGGCTGAGGTTCGGGGTGCCGATCCCCACCCAGCCCCGCCCAGTTAGGCCTGTAACCGTTTCTGCGCCCCCGCGCCCACTACTCACTGGGTGTGCTGGGCGCGGCCTGCGCGGAAGACCTCGTCCAGCGCCACGGTGGCCTGACCCAGGAATTTGTCGACGCCGATGAGCGAGCGGTGCATGGTGGTGAGCACCAGCTCGCAGGCTGCAGCTGAGCCCGCGGCCCAGGGCGCCGGGCCCGCATCGGCCTCCTGAGCCCGCAGCAGGCCGTCCAGGGCGCCAGGTGGCAGCTCGAAGGAGCACTCCTCGCGCCACTCTGGGCAACCCGATGTCTTCTCCACCACCGACGTGCTGTACTTCTCGCGGCCCACCTGGATCACTGTGTACGCGTCGCTGGTACTGCCTGCGCCGGAGCTCCTGCCCCGCAACCCGCGGGCCCGCAGCACCGTCACCTGGACATGCGTGGGCAGCCAGCGGGAGGGCTCCGCAGCCGGCTCGGCGTCCCGCACCAGGGCCATGGCGGGGGAAGCGGCGGCGGGCGAGGGCTGTCCAAACCCAGGACAGACACCAGGACCAAGCGACAAACTTGGCAGTGCCGCAGAACGGTCAGGAGCCGAATCAGAGAG